AGCCTGTCCAGGTCTCTCTGGATGACATCCCTTCCTTCTGGTGTGTCAACCGCACCACTCAGCTTGGTGTCATCCGCAAACTTGCTGAGGGTGCACTCGATCTCGCTGTCTAAGTCATTGATGAAGATGTTAAACAGCACCGGTCCCAGTACAGACCCCTGAGGGACATCACTCGTCACCGGTCTCCATCCGGACATCGAGCCATTGACCACTACCCTCTGGATGCGATCATCCAGCCAGTTCCTTATCCACCGAACAGTCCCCCCATCAAATCCATAGCTCTCCAATTTAGAGAGAAGGATGTTGTGGGGGACCGTGTCAAAGGCTTTGCAGAAGTCCAGATAGATGACGTCTGTTGGTTCTCCCTTGTCCACTGATGCTGTCACTCCATCATAGAAAGCCACTAGGTTCATCAGGCAGGAGTTGCCCTTGGTGAAGCCATGCTGGCTATCTTGATTTACCTCCCTGGCCTCCATGTGCCTTAGCATAGCTTCTAAGAGGATCTGTTCCACGATCTTCCCAGGCACAGAAGTGAGGCTGACAGGTCGGTAGTTGCCAGGGTCTTCCTTTCTACCCTCTTTGAAAATGGGCACAATGTTTCCCTTTTTCCAGTCACCAGGGACTTCACCTGACTGCCATGACTTTTCAGATATCATGGAGATACTTGTTTTTTCATGTGAAAGCATGAGACCGGCGTTGCCAAATGCCAGGCAGTAGTACAGCAGCGTCACTCTTCCATTGAACGCCACAATCTGCCGCTTGCCTGAGCAGAACTGACTGCCTTGCTCCGGTGATCTGAAAAGAAGCCTTCAAGAGGGAAATGGTAGGTGGCCAACTGGCTTGGGCACTTGGAAGAAACTTGATATACATGGCAGAGAAAAAACAGCATATAAAGGTTTCTCCTGGGAGTAAGGGCTTCAGGAGGAAGTTCTTCTCCCCTCAGGTAATGACTGCAGTATTTCATTTGGCTATGAAATGGCTGGGATCTGTGCCTTGCTGTCAAACTGGTGGAGCAAGATGTTTTTGGCTGCAGGCCTGTTACATTGCTTACTTGCTTACAGTGAACTGGCCAAGGGAAAGCGGCCCTGAGCACAGCAACTGGAGCACATGGCTGGAACAACTAGGCTTAATGAGAGAGGACTAACTATCATGGGGTCACAGAGAGTGGACAAGGGAACTGTGCGTGATTAGACTGGAATGAAATAGTGATGTTCCTTAACTGTTGTGCACCTGTGGAAGGATCATCCTCACCACCTGCACATCTCTTTGCATCTTCCCTTGCAGCAGTCAGCCTAGCTTCAACTCCAGCTAAACCTGAATGAAGTTAGACTTGGATTCCCCTCTGAATGATTCCAGTAAGAGTATTTGTAATTATTCTAGTGTTTAAATTCTTACTGTTCATTCATCAGAATGAGCTGGATCCAGCAAGGACTAAAACCAACTTCCACTGTTTTACCAATGCCAACAAACGGTGGCACAGCAGCTCCTCTGCGCTGCGCCCTGGGGAGATTTAATTTATTGCAATTAAACAGAGTAGGATAATAAGAACAAATCCATAAACACCATCCCCTACCTCCCCTCCCTTCTTTCCAGGCTCAGTTTCACTCCTGACTCTTCTACCTCCCCACACCTGAGTGGTGCAGCGGGATGGGGGTTGTCCTCAGTTCATAATGTGTTGTCTCTGCTGTTCCTTCTCGCACCCTGCCCATGTTCCAGCATGGTTCCTTCCCACGAGCTGCAGTTCTTCACGCACTGCTCCAGTGTGGGTCCATCCCTCCCATGGGCTGCAGCCCTTCAGGAGCAGATGGCTCCAGTGTGGGTCCCCCACGGGGCCACAGGCCCTGCCAGGAGCCTGCTCCAGCCTGGGCTTCCCACCCGGTCACAGCCTCCTTTGGGCACCCCCCTTTTTTGGGCTGCAGGTGGGGATCTGCTCCCCCGTGGGCCTCCCTGGGCTGCAGGGGCACAGCCTGCCCCACCGTGGGCTGCCCCAGGGGCTGCAGGGGAATCTCTGCTCCGGTGCCTGGAGCCCCTCCTGCTGAGCTGGCCTGGGGGGCTGCAGGGCTGCTCCTCTCACATCCTTTCTCTCCATCTGCACTTTTTTTTTTTACCCTTTTTCAAGTATGTTATCACAGAGGGCTCAGCTCTGGCTGGCAGCAGATCCCTCTTGGAGCTGTTCTTTCAGAAGCCACATCTGCAGCCCCTCCCACTACCAAAACCTTCTCATGTGAACTTAATACACTGACCTAATACATGCTGAGGGAGCACCAGGCTTAGTAGGGGCCTGGCCAGGGCATGGAGTCTGCTCTCCTCTGAAGCAATAACTGTACAGTGGCTCTATCCTAGCTGCTGAAACCTTTATCTGTAGGCCTACGGTGGAAGACGAAGCACAAAGCGCAAAGCAGGAAGGAGAGTCTGATAGGGAGTGCTGGGGAGGTGGTGGGTGCTGTCCTTGGTTTAGCTGAGCAGAGGCTGAACCACACTGTGGCATCCTTATTTTCAATGGAGGTTTCACGCAGGTGAGAGAAGCACACCCAGCAACATGCCTCCAGATTTGGTAAGGATCAACTAGATGAGTTTGCGGAACTTGAAAAAGTCTCGTGGAGGATGTCTGGGAAGCATGTCCAGGTGAAATGCAATTTTTCCTTCTCTGGAGAGGGAAAGCTGAGATGGTCCAGGTCAGGAGACAGAGAAGGTGAAGATTGCATGGGAGCTTCATGAAGCCCTCTCTCTACCTGCAGCTGATTAATTTGTGACATGCCAATCTCCACGAGGTGGCAGTGACTGACTATACATATGTGTATACACACTGGCTCCAGGGATCCCTTGTGCTTTTCCCTCTGGCAGCAGGGGGGTGGTTGTAATGGGCTGGAGGAGAATGCGTGGTGTGGGCTCCTACTACTCAGGTGGCACCATCTGCCTGTCCCCTGGAAACTGTGTGGGGTGGTTGTGGCAGAGGCATGAACAGACTCCAGGGAGGTGGAGAAGCCAAGCATCAGGTACAACTGCACCTACAGAGGAAGAGTTTTAGAGGAGGCTTGGGTCATCCCCCCTCCACTTGAGTCAGTCCATGATGCTTCCCCAGGAAAGCAGTCGAGTCTGGTTTTTCACCTTCCAGGAACCTTCATCTGTTCCTGGCTCCTCTGAGAGAAGCCTGGGGGAGGCACAAGGGCTGGTGGCACCATGAGCGGCCCTCAGAACTGTGAAGCCTGCTGGTAAGGGGAGTGCAGTGGCTGGTTTTAGCACTGCTTAGCAGGATGGCCCCAAAGGCTTTTGGCTTACTGGGAGGTGGCACCCATGTCCCGCTGGTGATGAGGGGCTGAGGAGGGGGACAGGAGGCATCTCCCCACGTGATGGCCAGCAGCAAGTTAAGCTGTGAAGGCCCTGTTCGGAGCTGATGCTGTCTAACTGGGCAGGGGTGTGAGCGATGAACAGCTACAATCAGGGGTAAGAGCAAAACATCTGAGGTGTCTCTTGCTTGCTTCAAGTGCAGGCTGCATCAGAGATGCTGAGGGGTTTAAGGTTGGATTTTGTTCAGCTGCGGAATGGGGCTCAGGTGAGAATGGACACCGTGGCTGGGCCATGTTGTCCTGTCCCCTCCTGTGGGCACCCACCCTGGAGGACCACGAGAGGAGCTCAGCAGGCAGCAACACACATCAGGAACAGCTCCTCCATTTCAGCAACCCACAGCTCTCAGCAGCAATTCCGGAGGCTGCCCTTGGTGTGGCAGGCCATGGGCAGCCCTTCAAGGCTGGTCCTCACTGTGTCCTCAGCACAAGCCCCAGCTTGAATTTGCTTAGGAACAGGACACAAAAGTCGCAATATTTATTAGACTGGGACACCTCTCAGCTAGAGACTGTTTCATTTTGTACAGGCAAGCATAAGGAGTTAAGTGGTTAAACTACTACTCCAGAAATAATATGTATAAATGAAGAGCTATTTAGCCAACAGATGATGAAGCCTGCAGCTGTTTACATTTAAGATTATTAAACAAACTCTTCCTCTTGCTCTCATATATCATAGCCTCAATGAACTGGGATCCTGAACAGCCTCAGAATTCCCACTGTCAAGCCCAATCGCTAAGTGTAACTTCGGTAGCGGCACAGAACGTGGCCACGTGGACAGGGAAAAAGCAGCACAGAAAGGCCAGAGATGACTACAGGTGCAGCCCCAGCCGCAGGGCAGTTGAGGAGTGGGCACTGCGCCCTGGGCAGAGCTGATGGCGTTTTCCCCTTTCCAGATGCACGCAAGGGAGGGCTGCTGCAGTGCCAAGGAGGACCCAGCCCCAGGCAACCCCTTGTGCACCTTCTGACAGCCAGTGGGACCACCAAGAGCTCGCCCTTTCCCAATGCCTCTAAGCTCAGCTGCAGAATGATAACATTCAAGGAAGGATGATGGCAACTGGCGTTTGCCACTCACAGGCCTCCTGCAACTGGCCGGAGGTCAGGCTGGACCGCCACGGTACTACCAAGGCGCTGCCTAAAAGCACACATAGTCATGTACTGGCAGAAGGGGCCGACCCCGGCAACACACGACTGACTGTGCCTTTGCCTGTGTTGGGCATTGGTGCCTTGTTCAACTTCGTTACACTGGTTGTGCTCACAGGGTGGGTTTGCTTTGCTGGAGGGGAGAAATAGAGGTTTTGTGACCTTAAGCTTACCTTGTGCCACTGACACTCTTGTTCCCGTGACTGTCAAAAAGAAAAATCTCTGTGTTTTTAGTACGCCCTTTTTATTTTCAACACGCTGTGGAAAGACTGAGGTAACTCTCCATAAGCTTTAGAACTTCGAGGACAACCAAGCTCACAGTGAGAAACAACTGCAAGGCTTCCAGACAGTGCTGGACGACGAGGGATGTTACTGTTGGTATTCATGTGCTGGCAGTGTTCCTGGTGCCTAACAGAAAACTCTGATTTCTCAGGAGGAAATAGCGATGCTCCCCAGTGAAGTTCAGAGGTGGGGTAGGTTTGGGAGGGTTTTGCTTTTACAAAAAAAAACACATTTTGGGGGTAAAACAGCCTTGCAAAATCAGCTGCAATTCGTGAAGCATGAGATCTATACACAGATAGCGAGGGGAACATACAGGTCATTATTTTCTGCAAAGCAGGCTGAACCAGAATTATTCTGACTGACAACCCTTCCTGCAACCAAGGGACAGGACCTCCATGTGACTATTTTTAGTTCTTTCCCAAATCACAACTTTACTTGAAACAAGAGGTTGTGAATTCACTGGACCTAAAATAATTTAGTATTTTAGGACTTGCAAGCCCTCTAAAAATTTTCTCAGTAAAAAAAAAAAACCAACACTAAACAAAAGCAGACCTCTACACAGTGGATCTGAAGCCTACCAACAACAAAATCCCTTTTCTGGTTTACCATTTTCCATGCTGCACAGCAGTATTAATCCACAGATTTTTCTTCAAGGCCAGTTGGAAACCACACCACTGGAGCTAGCCCAAATCGGCAATTCTTTCTCCTCAGAAAACCCTCTACAGCAACCAGGACCTCTCCCCTACTTGTGCCAAGATGCATCACTTCCCCAGTGGCCAGTCAACCTGTATTTCATGTGTTTTGTTCACTCAGCAGCTATTGGTTGAGCTACATCTTAAGTAAGTGATCGCTTCTTGCTGACGGACAGAGCATCTAATCCTGGTGCTGCAAAGACATTAAGGCCACTTAGAATCCCTCTTTGCAGATCAATAATGAGACATAGAAATTAACCAAGAAGTCCTCCACAGCGGTTGAAGACAGATCACCACCACCTTCAATACCTGTCTGTATTCCACAGTGAGTGACAGGTTCTTGTTCTGACTTTTTCAATACATCTAAGATATTTATTGTTGCTAATTCATGTGTCTCCTTTGCTCAGCACCACATGGGTCCTGGACACCAATTTAACACAGCCAGGGCCAGCATATTGATCTCTTCTTCCAGGAGAGCCAGGGTGAACACCAATGGCAGAGTCAATTCTAAGCTTGGGCACCAAGGGCCAAATTACTCAAGGAAATCAGTGACCCTATCCATGCCACCCAGACTGTGAAATCTGCTGGGATAAGTAAGCACTTGCAGTATCTTAGCCGCTCTGTGTCAACTGCAGTGAAGTGAAGAGGAGGGCATTCCACAAACAGAACTGTAACACAAGCAAAGTGTTCATTAACAGATTTATTTTTTCTTTCCATAATCTCAGAATAACTGAGATATCTACATTACCTGATGAAAGTAAAAAGAAAGCTGGCAGCCCCCAGGTGTTGCTAGCCAGTTTTTTGCTGCTTGATATTTGTTAAAAAAAATCCTTCTTGCTGAATTCTGGGCCAAATCAATAGGTAAACATTGTCATCAGACATGTCATCAGCTGGCAAAGCTTTTGGAATTGCTTTTCCTTTCTACAAACCAACTTGTAGAAAGGTTCAAGCTACTATT